ACTGTTTTTCTTAGGTTAAAGTATCTTACGTTGCTAAATGAAACTTTTTAAGGTTAAACTTTTCTTTACCTAGTTAAAAACTTATGCTTAATTAAATGGTAAAAAATAAATAGTTATTTAAAGAGTCTCAAGTGATTTCAGTCTTTAAAATTAAGCTCTTAGGCAAGGAAAATGTAATGCGTAAAGTTTATTTTCTTTAAAGTATCAATAAGTTTAATACGTTTTCGAATTGAAATTTGTTGCTTTTATTTACATAAGTTAAAAAAATATAAGCTCATCTAGTTACACTGTACATAAAACTAACATGCAAATATGCAAAAAAACATACTCAAACTGGCCTAAATATAAGAATCAATACTGTTCTTTTTTGCTCATATAATTAAAATACTTTATAACTACAATAAAAATACCTAATAATCTAATAAAAATATCCAAATAATAAGCTACATAAAGTTTTAATGTGAAAAATCCAAATACTACATCATTTCATTACATTTATACACAACTTTAAGGTTTTATAATGTTATCTTGTTAAAATCCCTTTCGTCTTAACGTGAAAAATCAAAATCTTTTTCAATCATTCACATTCAGTCTGAAATTTTTTAAATACTTAATAAGATTAAATTAGTGTCTCCGTCGAATTTTCAAAATCCGCTGGCCGGATAGAATATTGAACACCGAATTATGGGGAAAATAAACCAGCCCAAGTTACAACGCAGATAACAAAACGCAAGTCTTCCTGGATTGGGCACACTCTTCGACAAACCGCAAATAATATACCAAGGCAAAAACTGCGATGGAAACCACCAGGAGGTCGGCGACCCGGTGCACCAGCAGGAACATGACGAAGAACAATTAAAAAACAAAAGATGCTGGAATTACTTGAAATGATGTTACAAGAACAGCTCCTAATAGAATACGATTTAAATCAATGGTGGAGTTCCTATGCTCTAGAAGAATTTCAGAAAATCAGTATAGTAGTAGTAGTAAAATGCAGCAAAACTTATGTTAGTTTTATAAATTTATTTCTTAAAATTACTTTACATGGGTGAATCTAGCATTTAACAGTGATTTGGTTTACGTGTATATTATGTCAAAATATTATCCAGTAATAAATATGTTTTTTCTAACCTTTAATAAATATGGAAATTTTGCTATGAAACAAATATAATGTTTCAAATACACTCCTTTTGGAATATATGTATGCTTTGCAAAATTAGATAAACAATTGTTTTTAGCCACACCATTTTAGCATGCTAACCTAATTTTAATTTCACAAAACGTTAATTTGGTAAACGCCACAACCTGTAATGAAATAGACTCTAAATACCAACACTTAAATTCCTAAGCATACCCATTGACGCACCTATTAATGGACAGCGTGGACAACATGTCACAGAACTTACCTTAACTTAAATTTCCATGAAAAAAAAAAAAATAAAAACATAAATGAAATACTCTTTAAAAAACTAATGGAACAATTGTGACAATTTCTATCTATGCATGACTTCCCACTTTACCAAATAAAAGGACATTCCTACACTCACTATAACGAAAAACTACAAGCCGAAAATTGTATATCAACGGTATAGACCAAAACTTTTTAGAAGGCTGCGCTGTGTGCAAAGAAATGGAAGAGGGAAGTGTACAACAAATGAGTTACACCCTTTTTTTCGCTATCCGTAGTTGTTTATATATATTTCTGAATATAGATACAAATATATATGTATATGTACATATATAAATATAATCCATTTCACGGTTTTGCCACTACTAACTTACATTAAGAGTACTTTCTTCTTCTTGGAATTTTGTGCACTAAGCCTCTTGTCGTTAGCCATGTAGAGGGTGGTAATTATAATTTGTATAGTCCTGATTATTATTGTGAAAGCTTTATTTTCTTTTGAAATTTCCGGGATACGCACAACTTTTTTTTCATAATTATACACGTGACGGAGTAACTCTGTGAACTACACAGGTTGTTTGCTTATTAAAATTGCTTGGATCGTGGGTTGCACACAGTTGGAAACCAGTGAAAGTGTCGTTCGTTCTCAAACGATACAATTTTTTAATTACAGAGCAAGAATGTCCTTAAATACAAGAAATAATAATATATATAAATATTTAAAAAAAAAATAACTTTTAAAAAATGATTCATAAGTCAAATTAATTGAATCATTTTAAACACATTTACAAGGTGAGATGAAAAAACTGCAACAAAGTAAAACGCCATAATTTTTTCATTTTTTTTAAATTTTATTGAATGAAAGCAAAAAATGTCGGAAATAACATCAAATTTGAGAATCGGTTTAGATTTGTTTCGATGGCCACTTTGGCAACAGAACTTGGCTTCAACGGCCATTGAAAACATTCCACGCTGCCCGAAAGTGGCTCTGCGGTATTTTGTCCCATTCTCGGCGAAGCGCTTGCTTGAGATGATCGACACTTTGGTATTTTTTAGTTCCAACCTTGCTTTCCAAAATACCCCAGGCACAATAGTCCAACGGATTGGCATCCGGAGATTTTGGTGGCCATTGTGCGGTGGAAATGAAGCGAGGAACCTCATTTCTTAACCATTCTTGGATGGCGCGTGCTGAGTGCGATGGTGCTGAGTCCTGTTGGAATGTCCAAGGTCTGCGGCCGAAATGTTTGCGTGCCCAGGGCTTCAGAACTCCCTCCAAAATATTTTCGCGATAGATTTGCGCATTTAATTTGACACCACGGTCGATGAATACGAGCGGCGAGCGACCATCGGCTGTTATGGCGGCCCACACCATCACCATGGCCGGCTTTTGAGTTGTGATGGCCAACCGAAGTTGCAAATTTTCAGCTGACCTCTCTGGCAAGTAAACACGATCATTTTGTTTGTTTACAAACTGCTGGATAACGAATGGTTTCTCATCGGAGAAAACCAAATTCGGCAGTTCACCACTTTCGGCCAAGCGAAACAACTCTTTAGCTTTTTCGAGTCTAACTTTTTTTTGCGCATCAGTAAGATCTTGCACTTTTTGGAACTTGAATGGCTTTAGTCCAAGCTCATTTTTCAATATTTGCCGAATGGCATATTGCGATATGTTCAGCTCACGAGCCATTTTTCGTCCACTGCGACGCGGATTTCGTTCAATTCGCTTTTTCACTTTTCGAACCATTTCTGCCGATGTTGCTGTTTTTTTTCGTCCACTTCCTTGACGTCGGGCTACGCTACCAGTATCATGGTAACGAGCGATGGTACGAGACACAAAACATTTATTCACTTTTAAATGCTGGGGGGCTCTAACGATAGCCACTTGTGGTTTTCCAGCCAAATGCAAAGCAATCACACTATCACGCTTGAATTCCATCACAAATAACTTTTTTTCTGAAAAATAATGAGCTGTCACTAGAATAAATCTGACAGCTGTGGGACGAGCGGTTTAGAAATGACAGCAGTCTGAAGTTGGTTGCAGTTTTTTCATCTCACCTTGTATATACCCTTTATGCATTGACGTTTTCCATTAAAGCTGCACTCGAATACTTTGATGGGTATTAAAAATCATATTAAGTCCATTAAATTTGACATTGGTATTCGACAAAGCGAGTAGAGTGTAGTACTTAGTTCTTGAAAGAATTTCTATTGCTAAAGTGAATATCAAAACTCATATTAAGTCCATTAAATTTGTTATAGGTCTTCGACAAAGCGAGCTGAGTGTAGAACTTAGTTCTAGTCTAGTCCTTTAGAATCGCAACGTCGACCGCGAGAGCAGAACTTATTAGTTAATTCATTATATTTATAGTTACAATAGCAGATGATTTCGATTTCTTGGAGGAACTTCAAAAAGTACTCTAAATCTAGTACATTTGACACTAGATGTCACCAACGGGAGTTGAGTGCAGAACTTAGTACTTAAAGTCAACCTTTAGATTGTGAAAATTATTAATGCATGGGCTCTAAAAAACATCTTAGGATTATTAAATTCGACTTTGATGCGTATTTGCATAAGTGAAGATTTCGATTACATATTTAGCGCCAGAGGACTTAAAAATTGATTACTTACGAGTATTTAGCGACGAGTACGAGTGTTTAGCGACTGCACGAAAAGACTAGGGCATTCACCTGACGTAACAACAATTTTGCGGGACTAAATTTGGTATTACCCGCACTCAATAAATTTTTGGCTGCTGGATTTTGTTTACAAGGAAAACTGTAACTTTGGGTTCTACGCACCAATTACAATGATGTAATTTCATTTTGTCAATTTAGCTGTAATCCTCTCCTCCCTTGTCTGCTTGTGATGTGCTGTGTTTTTGCTGTGTTTCTGCTGTCGCTTGCATTATTTTGTCTGCTCCGAAGTACAAGACAGCATACTGAAATGAATCATTGCTCCCGAAAAGAACATTCGCCCCAGCAATTACTAATAGGAAGAGCAGAGCAGAAGTTGAGCGTTCACATTATTTTCTTGTCTTATTTTTAAATTCTTAGCTTTTACAGTCGGTTACTGCAATATGCCGCCCTGTTGTTGTTGTACTTTAATGACCATGTTCTGCAGCATTCGTGTCGGTGTCCTTTTGCATAAATGTTTTGCCACGAACTTTCAAGGTTAAATCGAGGTACTGCGACGCGTCGTCCAATGACATTAACAGTTCGTTCACACATCTCGTAAGTTTTATTGCTCCACTCTTTGAATCATATTCTTTCTTAAT